GAAGGACAGTGTCAGCATGAATTAAGAGATGATTTGAGGATCTACAGCCGAGTGATACACAAATTAGATACATTTATGTTAATGGTTAAGGTACTTGAATGCATTTTTATGATTTACTCCTTAATTTAGTGTCACTTTAAGATCACCACAAGGCACAAGGACACTCTTTGCAAATGGAGGAAAATATTTTCAATGTGGAAAGCCTTCTTTATTGTACAAGCTGTATTCCAATAGAAGTTGTTTCTAAATGGGTGCATTTGTAAGAGCACAAAACGTAAATTGCTAGTAGTATTTATAAGAAATAACATTGTCCAATGTTAATACAGGGAGATAACCAATTGTCTTTGGACATGAAGAAGCATTTGTAAGGTTTGTTTGCTTTTCTCTGGATCAACTGTGTGTTTAGGATTCTGAGAAGGCAAGGTTGCTCTTTTGTTATGGTTGAAAATGATGGATGTCTTTTTTTTCAACCTATGTAACCCTAGTGGACCATGGTAGTACATATTTAACCACCCTCAGGTGACCCTGAGACTATTATTATAATACAGGATTTATATAGCACCAGCAGTTTGCGCAGAGCTTTACAATATAAGTAAGACATTACAGTTACAATACAAGTCAAGACAAGATGGTAAGGAGGGCCCTGGCCATGAGAGCTTACAATCTAAAGGGCTGTTTGTTCCATCCCCATTTTAAAACAGCATCTGGAGTCAGTGGCTCTGGCTTTGCAATGCAATAAAATTACCTTCCAAACTGATCCCCTCCAGCACTGTACTTCTCCCTTGCTGGTGCTTCCATCTGTACTTCTCCCTCACCAGTGCTACCACTTCTCATCTCCAAGTTAAAAACATTTTGATGTCTGCCCTTAAGCCGGTATATGTTGCTCAAATTTTAAATGATTCCTGCTCAATTGGCTGTAATCGAACCATGCCATTAGGCTCATCCTAATGGCTGGTCCATCACAGAAGAAGACAAAAGTTTTTGGAGCAAGCTTCACTCATTGTGCAAATGACCTACAGGGTTTAGGGTTGTGGAATGGTGGTGGTGCACTGCTTAATTTTTATTTTATTTTTTTAAGGTAATGTACAGCTCAGGCTTACTTTGCCATACTAGTTATAATGATGATATAACCATACTAGTTATATCATCATTACATTTTATTGTACTGGGTAGTACAGCAATAGTTTATCCATGACAATGCAGAACAGTGTATTCTCATGTCTGTACTACCACACTCAGACAGCCCTAAATCCCAAAGCTATATTTCCTGGCTTATATTATAGGTGACCCATTATATCACAATATATGATTCCATCTATTTATCTTTTTGCAATAGAAACATTTTGTGTTTACTGAAATGCTCAGACATTGTGTCACTAGAGAGTTATGACTCATGTGGCAGTGAGTCCTGCCACTCTCTTTGAAGTGATAGGGTCCCCTGGTGTCAGGTAATAAAAGCTTCTGAGATTGTAACCTGATGGTGACTCAACCTCTGCATGCCTCTTGCACTAATGTACACAAAGTCAATCTGTTTTGTAATGGCCGCAGGCACTTTGTTTTAGTATTAGTCTTGTTTGTCTCCTCTCATGCTTCTCATTTCTCATGGTTTACCTCTGGGTTAACATAAAGTAAGTCTATTGTTAAAACCCATATAATTATTGTGGGAATGGGATACACACAGCTCACTAGTAAATGCAGTTTCAGCAGAGAATGTATTTCAAAACTGGACTTCTGACGTATAAAGCCCTAAATAACTTAGACCTCAGTGAGTCAGGGATACCCTGCAGCTTTGCATGCTCTCTCTGTTTAGGGCTATCAAGTGCCATGAATAGATAAACAGATAGAGTGATAGTTAGATAGATAGATAGATAGATAGATAGATAGATAGATAGAGTGCCGGGGGGGGAGTGTTATAGATAGTTA